AAGTGGGAACTTAAGGAAGGAACCTGGAACAAATTTCTGTCTCAGTTGGATGTGCAGATACCTATTAGTATTTCATATTCCTGTTGTATCTGTCTGTCTGTTTATCTATCTTTTGCTGAGATATGCACAGACTAGTGTTCCTCAGCCCTGGCAACTTTAAGTCATGTGGACTTCAAATCCCAGAATTCCCCAGCCAGTGATGCTTTAAAAAACCATCCTATTAAATCATCTTTTAAAATTATTATTCCTTACCTTAAAGTTGCTAAGGCTGAGAAACACTAATGTGGACTGTATAGAATCATGGATATCAGAATTCTAATACTTTTTATTTTAATTTGCACCAGACTTTGAGAATTATAATGCTGTATGACCATGTATAATAAGGGTAAAACATTTTTTTTAAAGGCTGTTTCTATATACTATCTTCTTGATACTTCACCCTATTATTTCTTTATTCTATCCTCAAGAGGAACACATTCCTGGCCCTCCCCTCCCCCTTAGCAGCCACTCGATGCCTCTCTGGGGATGTTACAAGATCCACCCTGCTGCATTAGCCGAAGTGTTGCCCTTTCACGGATACAGGCATAAGGCCAGTAGCCTTCCCACTGTGCAGGGAGCATGGCTGCGAACAGGGCAGCATATTTACAAACACCTTTTTTCTGCTTTGCAGCTCCAGCAGCTGCTACAATGCCAGGATGACAAGGGTGACAAGATCCCTTTCCAAAGCCTTGACATCTTTCTCAGAGCATTTTCCATTCCCTCTCCCCTTCTTTGGTGAATGGATATCAACAGGCTGTCCTGTATCATTCCCCCCGGGGGAAATGTAAATATCAGGAAGTGCTACAAATGGATCCTTTCCTGATCAAGGCAAAGTCTCTTTACAGAGCCAAGGGTCGTGACTTTGTTTTTTGCTTCCTAACCAGCACAAACATGCCCTAGCAAATCCTTTTTATGACCTTTCATTGTGACACTGCTTTTATCTCATCCTTAACCCAAAGCAAAGGTAGCTTGATGTTATCTAGCTGTTGCAATTTTAAAAGCAGTTCCCTAATATTGTTTTTGCTGGAGATACAATCTGATTGGTTTGTTGATTATGTGGTATCAAGTCCTTTTCAATTCATACTGACCACAAAGATATATTTTCTCCATAACAATCTATTTCTAACTTAGGCTTTCAAGACTTCCAGTTGTGTACTCAACATGGTGCAGTTGAAATTGGAGGCTGAAATTTGCCCAATTCTTATTGTACATTTTTTGTGTGCTGCAGGCACTCTGTGGAGATTCTCAGCCATAGTTGTCTCAAAAATGATTTTTTTCAAAGAGCAGCTGAACTGTTTTTTGGGGCGGTTTTGTTTTCATTTTTTCCCTTTTCTGTTGTTGTTTTTTGTAGGCATTCTGTTTTCCTCTAGTCCCTAATCATTGCCTGACAACCACACTAGAAGGATCAAATGAGGATATCATCTCACAGGAAGGCTAAAACTGCTTCTATTAACATTGACTATTGTAGCAGAATCTTGCAAGTTGAATTGTGCTTATCTGTCCTCTTATAGTTCATTGAATCAGGGAGGTGCCTGTCAGAACAACTTCCAAGTGTTATCTCATTTCAGCCTCCTTTGCCAAAGTAATGCTTCTTGCACAGTTTCATCAAGATCATCTTTCTTACCCTCTACATCAGGGATCCCCAACCCCCTGGCCCGTGGACCAGCACTGGTCTGCAGCACACCAGAAACTGGTCCGCGTAACCAAGTGAAGCCCCATCCACAGCATGCAGGCAGCACACAAAACAGCCTCCAGTCCATGGAAAAACCTTTCTCCCCAGAAGCAGTCCCTGGTGCCCAAAAGGTTGTGGGCTGCTACTCTACATAAAACTTCATCAACTTCTTGTGGAACAGTCTGAGAAAACCTGAACTAAAGGATTAGCTGAGAATCAAATAGATAGGGAGATACAATAAAAGTCTTCTTTAACAAAAAGAACCTTAAAAGTAGAATACAGCAGGGTCTTTCAGTAGAGCAGGGGTGTCATACTGCTGGCCCATGGGCCGGATATATCATAGCAAAACCACACCCACTCCATTGCTGGCAATGGCAAAAAAGTCTCAATATATCATGACATACCATGTGACTTTGCGAGTTTGACACCTCTGCAGTAGAGTATGTCTCCAGTTGTTTGTATTACCTTCCAGGTAATAGGAAGGAAATGTTGATGCAACAAATGCTGTTACTTTGATTTCTAGCTTTGTAGGACATCTTGATAAACTTAATCCTTCTTTTATGCTAAATGTGTGTTAGTAAAATGGGATTACCAATTCACATAGAACTCCAAGATATAGGTTGCTTAAATTATTAAAAATATTTCAGGGGATAATTTCTAACTTTAAAAAAAATCTAGGAGTAACTTTTTTTAGTGTTCATGGGGAAAAGAGCAATCAATTTTGTTTGTAAATTACTTTATCCACATTTCTCACTAAGAAATGATAAGCTGTATGTACAGTTAGGTGGCAGACCTCAACTGACACTGACTGACCTCAATAGGTGAAGCAGATCCAGACATTGTAGGGACTTGAACAGGCATCATTAGGAGATCTCAAGGTTGTGTACTTGATAGGGAGACTGAAATAAATATCTTGGAAAAACATGTCTGATAAATCACTTCTGTATTATTGTTAAGAAAATTACATGGAGGTGTCTGTAATATTACTAGGAATGTTAGGGGACTTTACATTAATAAATCTTGCACTCAGAAACAGTTCTTCCTATTTGGATGTGGTATAAGCTGCTCTAAAGCTTGGGGGTAATGCTGGAGATTGATGTGGAAGTGCCTGAGAATGCTTTGAAGAACAAGCAGTAGGTCAAAAATAACTGTCATGAGAGGCAATAATCTACTCTATATGGAGACAGTGGAAAAAGGTAGAAAACATTCTAACCCCAACAGAAAACACATTGTCTCCTGGATTTTAGCTCGTTGATGTCAAGCATTTGGTTCTTGCCAGATAAGGGTACTGAATCCTCAAACCAACCTTGAATACTGAGAAACATGCCTAGATTGCATTTCATTGTGTAATCTATTTAATTCATCTTTTGGGGAATTCATAGCAAAGCAACAATAAATGTGTATTGAAAGAATGTTATTTGAAGGACAGTCTCCCCCATTATATCCACCTGGCCCACCAGGATGGCAAGGCCAGGTATGTTGCAGGTCCCATCTATTAGATATGTATACCTGGTAGAGCCCGAATAAAAGGCCTACTTGCTAGTGACTCCTCAATGGATCATCAGTACTCCAGAGGTATGATTTGCCCCCACCTTATTGCTTTTCCAAAAGGCCCCCAATACGTGGTTTTGCCTGTAGGTCTGGGGGCCCTGGATTGAGATGGAGCAGTCAAGTGGTTGATCTGATTGTGTGGTTGCTGCCATTGGGGATGGATGGGTCAACGGTTTTTTTTAAATAATATTTTATTAATTTTCTCATTTTACAATTAAGTATTTAAAAAGCAACGTGATGACTGGGTTAATCAATAGTTCAATAGCATACATAAGTCTTTAGTATAAATCTCAAATTATAACATCAGATATTTCCTCTCTTTTTCTCTTAATATCTACTATCTTGTGTTAGGCTAATATAGTTCTTATTATTACCAACTAAATAAAAACATCTTTGTTACATTTATCAATAATTTTTAGCTTATACATATCTTGACTTGTGTTTGCATTCGATCCTTATATACAATCAATGCCCTGTTATTGCTTTTTTTTCCTCCAAGCTTTAATTTCCCATCAATATTCAAATTAACATTTGTTATTTATGATTTCCAAGTATTTTATATTTAGGTGACCAAAGTTTCTCTTATCTCAACTTCTTCCTTTTCCCTTTTTCAAAACAAAGTCTAATATTCTAAATATACATCTTATCTATTTGAATATAGTCTTGATCTGTTTTCTAAAAGTTATCTATTTTCCACCATATTAAACCATCTAATTAATAATACAGTATCCCCTCTAATAAGTCAAAACCATTATATGTATTGACTGGGTTAACAAATAAATCAGTAATAACAATTTTTTTAGTTTAGGTCTAATTTTTGGAAGCTCAAATACTCCTCTCTTTTTCTAGTAATATCTGTTATCTCATATTGGGCAAATAGAATTCTTATTTTCAACTAAGTAAAAAAAATTCTTGTTACATTTATCAATACTTTTTATCCTATACATAAACTTTAATTTCCCATCCATATTCAGAAAAGGGGGGAAAACACTGTTATTTATGATTTCCAAAGATTTTATGTTAGGTGACCAAAGTTTCCCTTATCTCAACTTCTCCCTTTTTCCTTTTTCATATCAAAGTCTAATAGTCTTGTTACACATATTACCTATTCAGTTATAATGTTACTTAATTTTTTTTAAATTATGTATTTTCCACCATATTCAATCCTCTAGTTAGTAATATAATATCAAAGCCATTATTTTCTTCAGCCTTATTCTGGCTTTCTTCCTTTGCCACTAACCTTCCATGTCAGTGCCTTTGAATCATCAAATAGTGCTCCCTCTATTATTATATATATTATTTGGAATAAGAAAGACCAGTTGAGTGCAGGTTTTTTTTTTTTTTTTTTGGAAGAACTAGCCCATTTGCATTCATTAGATCACCTCCCTATTACTCCAATTTCCCATAATTGTCCTGATAGGTTTATCTTCCATTCAATCTGTTCTTCTTCCTTTTTCTCAAATTTCTTCTGATTTTTGTAAAAAGTCTTTTCCAGTTTCAGTATTCACTCCCTTTTCTGATTTTTCCATTGGCTGGGTCTGTTGGTCAGTTGGGTCCTCTGTCAATTTTCCTGTTATTTTCTGCATTGTTAGTTCTTTGGTTATAGTCAAAATCTGGGTTTGTATATTTAAGCTGTCATTTTGTTCCTTTATGTTGCTTTCTATTTTGTCACAAGCTGAAAGGATGGTTTAGTGTATTGATTTCAACACGGAAAGGATTTTTTCCTGATCTTCGTCCATATTCTCTTGATAGTATAGTAAGTTGAAGACTTTAGAATCAAACGTTAAAATAGTTTTTTGTCTTTTGCAGCTGGGTATGGGACATCTATTTCAGGTGTTATAGGTGGTCTTTATAATAGAAATGGTTTGTCAAGTAAAAGTTTATAATCCAAGGTATTCTATCATCTCGTATAATAACATATACTTCTCATGTAAAGAAATAGGAAAGCATTTCCCCAAGTATAGCTCTGAAAGTCAGTAAAAGTTTACATTCGTAGTTCAAACAGGCCAGATATGCCACCCAGAAGTTCCTTCTTTGCAGCTGGGTTTTTCACAGATGGTAACTGTCAAGCTCCGAGAAGTTTTTTCTAGAGTCTGGGCTTCAAGCCAAGTCTCTTTTAGGCAATAACAACTAGTAATACCATACTTTGTCACAAAATGTCACTGACGCCATTTAAGCTTTTTAAGTCCAAAATTTTTATGGTAGTTTTCCAAGTCTTATTTCTTTTTTTTAGATAAAAAACAAACATCTCCCATGAAAGAAGGAACACTTTTAGTCCCCAAGTTTCAAAAGAATATGCATCCAATTAGATTAAAATTGTTCTTATAGTTGCTCTGTTTCCTCTGGGTAGTTAGTTTCTACTTTTCTTAGAAGGTGGGATAGAAATTCCCTTCCCTCTCTCCTCACAGGGGGGAAAATACTTTGGGCATCTTTTACCAGAAAAAATACTTAAAATCTTAAAGAGAGGATCAGATCTCACCCAGTTTCATCCTCATAGCTTTAAAGGTGCTTGGTGGTGATTTTGACTTCAGCTGTCAGCAGCTTAGTGACGGGACATATTGGTATGGCCAGTCTTTCCCCTGCCGGTTTGGAGGGCTTCCCCGGCTCAAACGGAAAGGCCACCGCCCTCCTGCAATCAGATGCATCCACTCCTTGCTCGTTGCCCCTACAGGGTGACTTTCGACTCTTTCTAGGGTTCCCAGCAGAACGAATTCAGACGCAAAAGACGTCTTCCTGCGTCTGCAGCGCAGCGATGGTTTTCATATTATGGTTTTACGTTGTAAGCTGCTCGGAATCATCTGTGTGAGGTGTGCTGCCATATAAAATATGTTTGTTTAATAAACACAAATGAATGAATGGTATTATACTTTCATAATGCAGATAGGAAAGATGACAGGAACAATGGAGGAGCCTATAGAAAGGGAGGTTTCTCCGTGACTGTCCAGTGAGAACAGATGAGATCTTACAATGCCTTAGAGTTCAAAGACACTAATTAAAATAGAAAGATAATTTATCTCTGTCCCTCACTCTCATGATATATGTATAACTGAACTGCAAAAAAATTAACATTTCCATTTTTAAATCAAATTACTAAAAACATTTATTAACACGTCTGGTTTATCTGTAATTCAACCATTCTCGATCTCTAGAAATAATAGGCCATAGCATCATAATTTTAACCATTTTGCCTCAGGATTAGCTAACCTAGAAAATGCCAGTCTAGGAAAAGCTATCTTGTGCTTCTTCTGAAAAAAAGCATGGTTTGTTTGAGAAAAACAATGTGCAAGCGCATACACACACACACACACACACACAAACAAACACACAAATAATTATACAAATGGGTTCTCCAGTGTTGTGCCCACATGGCTGGTAAACCCAAATTGACTGGATTTATATAAACAAGTCTATTCAAGATTAAATTTTGAAGTCACCTATATTGAACACATTGCAGTTAAATCATTGTGGCAAGATTTATCTGAACCATAATTCCCATTTATAGGCAAAGAATCCCAAGAAACATGACAATTAACTAAAATGAATGAGATCACAATCGTTATTTTAGTTAGCTAGTCAGTTCATATAACTCTAAAAATACCAACTTGGAAAAAAATATTTAAAAAGAGAGAGCCAGTTTCGACTAGTGTGTTTACAAGCATGGCAACTGTAAAATACTGAACTGAACTCCGGGAATTGAAATCCATCCATCTTAAATTTGCCAAGATAGAGAAACCTTTATCTAGCAATATGGCACAAAGTTAAAACCAGGACACTGTGAGTTGTAGTTCTACCTTAGGCATGAAAGCTGGCTGCATGACTTTAGACAATCACTCTCTCAGTCCAACTTATCTCACAAGGTTGTTGTTTTGGGGAAAATAGGAGAAGGAAAGAGTATTAAATATGTTTACTGCACTTTTTCTCACTCCTGGCCTGAAACTTAGACATACATATTTTGGTAATTGTGCTAAAGAAGCTTTTCTAATGCAAAAAAAGTGAATCCATATGTAGCCCTGGATTTTTAGGTTGTTCATCTCTGCCGTTAAAAAAAAATCTGTGATTGGATCCATAGCAAATTAAGCCAAAACCAAACAAGTATGACTACAATGTATAAAACCAGTAATTGACTAAGTTCACATATCATGCTAAGCCATAGGTTTTTAAGCATGGCTTCTTATCTAAACTATAAACAATGGTTAACAAACCACAATGGCACAATGATAGCCTAAGCTGAAACTCAGATAAACTGCATTCTGGCTTACTAGAATATATTCACATATATGAACCAAACTGGTTTATATATAATTAGGATCACCAGCATGGTCTGAAGTAGCATTTTGCTAAATGATATATTTTCATAATTTAAATTCCAACTTACTAATGCAAAAATATTTACCTTTATGTTTTATAATCATCTTCAACATGATCACATGCATTGATTTAGACTCTTCCCAATAAAATCAAACCATTCAACAGGTATATGTGGAGGACTGTTGTAAATTACCCAATGTATAGCATTTCTTTTCTTTTGCAAATACATAATAATGAGGGGGGGACTTCTGCCTCCCTCCCTCCATCCCCATTTCACTCAGATAAATTTCAGCTCAGATGCCAGTTTTAGCAGCCACGTCTGCTCGCCATGGCCGATCCAGGTAGCTGAGTACTTGGCGGATGGGGCCACGATTAGTAGGCTCCAGGGCTAAAAGATTTTGTAACATAGCAATGCAATCTTGAGACAGTGGACGCCAGTGAAATGGCAGATCTTCATCTGAACCTGATTCTTGCCATATCACAAAGTCGTCAAAAAAGGAATCCTCTGGCAGAGTCTTTTCCCAAGGAAAGTAGCCAGTGAGCAGGCAGAAGATCAGCACCCCGAGAGCCCAGGCATCAAGGCTGGCATCGATGGGTAAGCCTGGGGTGCCAATGGTGCCACGGCTCAGCTCAGGTGCAGTGTAAGGGATGACCCCAGTCACAAGCTGCAGCAGAGTGCCTTGGGGTCGGGTCAATCCAAAATCTGTCAGTTTGATGCAGTGGCAGTGACGGTCAAAAAGCAGGATATTTTCTGGTTTAACATCTCGATACACCAGGCCCCGACTGTGTATAAAGTCCAATGCGCTCACTAGTTGCTTGGCACAGAGCTTGGCTGCCTTCTCAGGAATGCCTGCCTAGATGGATAACAGAAGAACATTTTTTTAATCCATTAGTTCTTCTCAATGGTCTATAACAGTGTTGGAGCATCCACAATTTCTGGAGGCAGGTTGTTCCACTAATTAATTGTTGTAACTGTCAGAAAATTTCTATTCTACCGTGTTTTGCCAAAAATATATATATATATATATATATGAAAGACATCCTCTGAAAATAAGCCCTAATGGGTTTTTTGGTGTGTGTAAACCCATTAGGGCTTATTTTCAGAGGATGTCTTATTTTGTGGCTACCCACCCACTCCATGTCACCATCTGGTTCCTCACAGTTGCAATGGGGCAGGAGGCTATGTGGTAAGCTGGTGTCACTGCCATGAATTGAGGCGAGGTCCCCACAGCTAAACCACTCCCCACTTGGTGACCTCTCCTTACCTGTTCATTGACCCAGCTGCCTACCCGTCTCTTCCCTTTCACTCCCCTCCCGAGCCAGGCTGCCATGCTATGGAGGATGGGTAGGGAAGGCTCAATCACCATACCTGGTCCCCTCCGCTGTTTCAGAGCCATGGAGTGACGGCGAAAGGCCTTCACTGCCGCTGTGCATCAGCAACATCCACCACTGGAGGGGCTTTCTTTGCTCCCCACCAGCCTTGCTTCGTCCTGCCCTGCCCTTAGGTCATCTGTCTGGCAGCCACTGCCTCCTCCACCACCTGCCATTTGTGCTGCAGCACTGCAACGCGCTGCCTGTATTGTATGGTTTCAATGGCGGCAACTCTGGAGGCCCACATAGCCACAGGAGAGTTGGTGGCTGGAGTCAGGGCAGCACAGTCTTCAGAGCGCTGCCACCATCAGCCCTAGTATAACTGAGCTGTGAAGGAGGGCCAGGGGGCCAAAACTGTCAGCCCAGGGACAATATAGGGAGCCTACCATCAGTGGAGGAGGCAGTGGCTGCTACCAGGCAGGGGATCTTGATTCTACCGCTCTGTTAATGCAGCCTAGGACTGCATTGACTTTTTAGGCAACTACAATGCACTGCTGGCTCATATTGAAGTGATGTCCACTAGGACTCCAAGATTCCTTTCATAGTTACTACTATTGATTTAGGTATCACCCACACTATACCTGTGTATTTGGTTTTTCTTGCCTAAATGTAGAACTGTATTTTTTGTCACTGTTGAATTTAATTTTGTTAAATAGTGCCCAATGTTCAAGTCATTATTATTATTAAAATCTAAAATAACAAATTGTAGATGTTAAAATATACAGTAAGTATAAAATCTAATAATAATACTATTTTTTTAATCTTGAAATATAAAAATATGCTTACCTTGGGCTTGATAATGGAAATAAGATCTCGATGAAAGGCTGCTTCATAGAGAAAACCATAATGCTGGCTGGACTCTATAGCAATGCCAAACATACCAATGATGGCAGGATGTGCAGAAAGTGAGAGTGCCACACAGTATTCATATAGGAAATTCTGGAGCTTGGTGCTAGATTTAGGTAGTAGCTTGAGAGCCATAGGTGTCCCTGAGAGAAGTTGGGAGAGGCAGAAATATGGATAAGACATCAAGATCCTCATTTTCCAATAATCAGACGTTTTTTCTGCCTTTTGGTCATTGTGTAATTTCAGGCATTGAATCCAGCAGTGCTTTCTGTATGCAAAATATCTTATGCAAAGTCACCAAAACTTTGGGTCATTATGACAGATAATCCTCAACTTACAACCATAACTGAACCTGCAATTATAGTCACAAGTTGTCATGGTCATAAGTCAAACCATCACATGACCAGTTTGAAGATATGACTGTTAAGTGGAAACATAATTGTTAAATGAATTCACTTTCCTAATGCGTGTTTTTGCCAGAAATCAGAGATAAATGCCAGAGACTGATAAAAACACATTGCAAATTGGAGCCATGTGATCACAAGACACTGCAAACAGCTATAAAGGCGAGCCTATTATCAAAATGTGATCACATCACCATTGGGGTTTGTGGGGGGCGGGGGGGGGTAGGGGCTGCTGAAAGAAGTTAGTATATATTAAATGATTGCAGTTAAATGCTAGGAATAACACTAAGTGCTACAAATAACATAAGAAAAACAGATTTGTTTTCATACTCATGTAATGAGAACCTTTGCTTAACAATTTCTTTCCTCTTTCTGTAATTTTGTTATTTCTTCATTTTTTCATCAATATGCTAAACATAATTTTTACTTTTATATATATTTAAATGCACAATAGAGTTGCCCATTTTTTATTGTTGTGTCACCTCATGTATATATATAATGTTAATCTCTCCAGGACTATTTTTTTTAAAAAAAAATAATGCCTGAAATGTATATGTTGATCAAATCAGTGTGACAAGCAGGAAACAGGTATACAGTTGAATTCTTGCCTAATGTACCTCAGAGCTGAAGAGCCTGAAATATAGCATCCTGTACAAATTCTTGCAAATATGATTTTATACACTATATTAAGTATTTTGTTTGTTTTTGAATAAATGATTTAATTTTTTGTTCCTTCTCAATTCTTTTTTATTCAAATTGAAAGACTCTAGGATCAAATTCTTTTCCAGTTCAGGAAAAAAATACTGTAAAGTCAGTATTTAAATTTCTACTAAACCACATCTGCAGTAGAATGAGACTCGGCAAGAGGAATTCCCCTTCACATTTTTGAGAAACTCTTGTGTTGAGAGACAAGGGCTAGAATAAAACTCTGTTCACAGAATAGATATTATGTATATAAGTACAGATGTACTGTTGTAGCCCAAATCTGACTCGTCTAAAGCAAACAAATAATTTGAAGATACAACATAATTTTATTGGCATGCTTATAAGCAATCATATATTATATACCAGATACTCAGCAAAGCTTTGATACTTTACTGAGTGGCCATGAGCAACAATAAAAACAGAGCTTATATTATGTATTATATATTAGTGCCCATTATCTACAGTGTGATGTTGAACTATTTTAGATAAACCCATATGGGTGACTTACTTACTTATTTACTTACTTACTTATTTATATCCCACATTTATTTTTACAATTAGCTCTAGACAGCAAACATATTCAACACCCTACCTCCTCCTATTTTCCCTACCACAACAATCCTATCAGGTGAGTTGGGCTGAGAGAGAGTAACTGGCCCAAAACTACCCAGCTATCTTTCATGGCTAAGGCAGGACTAGAATTCATGGACTCACACTTTTTAACCTGGTGCCTTAACCATTAGAATAGAATATAGCTAGAAGGGACCTTGGAGGTCTTCTAGTCCAGCCCCCCGCTCAAGCAGGAGAACCTATACCATCTCAGACAAGTGACTGTCCAGTCTCTTCTTTAAAACCTCCAGTGATGGAGCACCCTTGATTTCTGAAGGCAAGCTGTTCCACTGGTTAATTGTCCTCACTGTTAGGAAGTTTCTCCTTAATTCCAGGTTGTTTCCAACCATTGTTTCTTGTCCTGCCCTCTGATCCTTTGGAGAATAATTTGACCTCCTCTTCTTTGTAGCAGCCCCTCAAATACTGGGATACTATTCTTTTCTTTAGATTAGCCAGGAACCAAATCCTACAGTCATATGTTTTCATCTCCAGGCCTTTGAATCATCTTAGCTGCTCTTCTCTCAATTTTTTCCAGACTCTCAACATCTTTTTTGTGATATGGTGACCAAAATTGGCTGCAGTATTCCACGTGTGGTTTCATTAGGGTTTTATAAAGCGGTACTAATACTTCACATGATCTTGATTCTATGCCTCTGTTTATATAACCCATGAGCACACTGCTGGCTCATATTCAAGTGATCGGCTATTAGGACTCCAAGGTCCCTCTCAGTTACTAGACCAAAGTGACTCTGTCATTTTCTACTAGGTCAGCATGGCAGCTGTACTCTCTCAGTTAATAGAAACAATTAGGTTTACTTAGCCACGAGTTCCCAACTAAGCCTCTCCCTATTGGAGTCAATTCAGCTTGCTATGAATATTTTCTTATAAGGGCACTTTAAGCACCATATATATTGGAAGCAGGGGGGGAAACATTCCTTGGGTTTAGTAATGAATGCACTTTACATTTATACATGGGGGGGGGATAACTTTTACTCTAACCATAGCAACCAATCGCATCATTATTTAATTTTAATTTAAAAACTTGGCTCAAATAAGTGACAGCTCAAAAATTATTGGGTATTTATCAGGAAATCGTGGTTGATTTTGTCTTTGTAACAATGATCTGGTGGCTTCTGATAACAAATTATTTTGTATACACCACAAGCCATTGTAGGATATCGTCTATTAACAGAATTGCACAAGATATTGGAGAAGTATCATTAATCCAAACATCAAAAATTTGAAATCTGCTATTGATCAATTTTCAAAAAGATTATTATTTTTACTAATCAAAAACTATGTTTTCCTTTAGTGTATGATTCATATTTAGAAAATATAGACAATTTGTATGCAAAATTTACTACATTGTTACTAAATGTATAAGTGATCATGGTTTGTATCAATTTAGCTTGTTAATTTTTGAAATATTTTATTTCTTATTTTTCTTTTGGTATTATAACTTAATCATTAATGTATTAGATGTGTGCATATTATCACTTTTAAAATTTGTCTTTACATATTGTCTTCTCTGTATTTCTGTAGACCCACAAACACACAGAGAGAGAAAAACATACATATAGTGCATACATACATATGTGCATCTAAGGGTTCAGATTGTAGGCAGAAACATGCAGAACTCTGAAGAATTCTGGGAATTGAAAGTCACACATGTGAAAGCTGTCAAGTTTGAAAACACTGATATAGGGTCACTAGCATAATAATAATAATAATAATAATGATGATGATGATGATGATGATGATGATGATGATGATGATGATGATGAAAGGAAACCGCCCCAATAGCAGAGGAACAAAAGATCAACTCCTAATAGACAAAATGATCTTGGAAAACTGCAAGAGAAGGAAGACCAACCTGAATGTGGCATGGATTGACTACAAAAAGGCATTTGACTCTCTGCCACATGATTGGATAATAAAGTGCCTAGAAATAACAGGAGTCAGTAGAAACATCAGAAAATTTGTGCAAAGATCGATGGCACAATGGAAGACACAGTTGCAGATCAATGGTGAGAGGCTGGGAGAGGTTAATATCAAGAGAGGAATATTTCAAGGAGATTCATTATCACCATTACTATTTGTTATTGCACTGTTTCCTCTGTCAACAATACTGAATAACTCAGGACATGGCTATCAAACATCAAAAACATCTGCCAGACTATCCCACCTCCTTTACATGGATGATCTGAAGCTGTATGGAAAAACATCATCTGAAATAGAATCGCTGCTCAACACTGTCCGTATATATAGCCAAGATATTGTAATGGAGTTTGGCTTGGACAAATGTGCCACACTTACTATCAAACAAGGAAAAATAGTGAAAACTGAAGGAATCAAGATGCCCCACGAAAATAACATTAAGAGTCTGGATGAGGAAGAGTACTACAAATACTTGGGTATCCTTCAAGCTGACAACATCAAGCACACTGAAGTCAAGAAAAAGATTAGAGGTGAATACATCAAGAGAGTGAAGAAGATCTTAAAATCCAAACTCAATGGAGGAAATACCATAAAGGCAATCAACACCTGGGCAATCCCAGTCATTAGGTACACAGCTGGAATAGTGGACTGGACTCAAGCAGAACTAAAAGCAATGGATAGGCAGACCAGAAAAATAATGACAATGAATCATGCCCTTCATCCACGCAGTGACATTGATAGACTTTATCTACCAAGGCAAATAGGTGGGCGTGGAATGCTACAAGTACATCAGATGGTTGAAGAAGAAAAAATGGCTTTGGAAGAATATCTGAAGAACAATGATGAAGATGCACTGAAATTAGTATATCAGGAAGGCTTACTAACTACTGGAGAGACCAAACTGGCCTACAAGAAAGACCAAATGAAGAACAGAATAGAGGCATGGGAAGACAAAGCACTACATGGCCAATACATGAAAAAAATAGCTGGGAAAGCAGATAATAATAAAACCTGGCAATGGCTAAGAGCAGGAAAATTGAAGAAAGAGACCGAGGGACTAATTCTGGCTGCACAAGACCAAGCCTTAAGGACAAATGCATACAAAGTCAAAATTGAGAAGACAGCAACAGACAGTAAGTGCCGCCTATGCAAAGAAGCTGAAGAAACAGTGGACCACTTGGTAAGCTGTTGCAAGAAGATTGCACAGACTGATTACAAGCAGCGGCATGACAAAGTAGCAACAATGGTGCATTGGAAGATCTGCAAAAAATATCATTTGCCTGTAAGCAAAAACTGGTGGGATCATAAAATAGAGAAAGTCATAGAAAATGATAAAATTAAACTGCTCTGGGACTTCAGAATTCAAACAGACAAGCACCTGCAACATAACACCCCAGACTTAACAATTGTCGATAAGAAAGACAAAAAAGTCTGGATAGTGGACGTGGCAGTGCCTGGAGATAGCAGAATAGAAGAGAAAGAACTGG